TCTGAAGAGGAGGAAGAGGAGGAGGATGGTGAGGAGATTGCTTTTGAGGATGATGAAGATGAAGTGGTGGCTGGACGTACCTACTTGGATGATGAAGAATGAACATTTTCCTATGAACTTATTGACTATTGTTTAGTATTTCGACATTTTATGAACTTGTGATTCTAGGAAGTGGTCACTATTTGCTTGTTATTTGTTATTTTAAGTGTTTACTGTTAAGAACTAGGCATTGCTAATTTTATATGCACTTGGATTATATGAATTATTCCAGAAAACAGAAAATATTTGAGAACTTTTTACATTTATGCTCTGAACGCCTAGGCGCGCCTAGGCTACGCCTAATCAGGCAAGGCGCAAATCAGGAGCCGAGCGCCTGCCTTACGCCTAGGGCCTTTTAGAACCTTGCTATTATTACAATGTGTTGTTAGGCAGCCGACACCCTTCGCTCTAGTTAGGGATGCCACCAGCAATGCAACATATAAAACCTTCTGTTTGGTTAATGTAATCAATGCAACATTATATATACACTATGGTTGTTAATATAATTTGTACTTCAATCCTCTTGAATAACGAATGAATTAATTGATGGAAGTGTTACTAAAAAATTTGTATATGTCATGATGGTAAATCGAGTATCATAATCTAAAAGGTTACATTCGAGGCCCTATGACTCTTTATTCATCATTTCGCACCTCGCACACTAGAAGCGTTCGTAGTAGTATTTGAGTGATATATTTAACATCTCAAAGGTTTGGCTTAGCTCTCATGTGATGTGATTGAAGGTGATATGTACCGACGAGAAAAATTTTCACAAAAAAAAAATCCGACTTCAATAATCATTTATTGCTATATATCTATAACTAGTTATAAATGAGTAATAAGTACATAGAGTTGAGAATTCGACCATTTTTTTAATATTTTTTCAAAGTATGTATTTGTTTCGGTTAGTTCTCAGTGGAATTCGGAGTCCGATAGATAGGATTAACAACTATGATTTATGAGAGCTTAGACTATAGATTAACCATTTAGTAATGGAAAAGAGATAAACAAAAGTGATCAATGAAGAGCATCCAGTCCACACATTAGTGTCATGCGATAACCTCTGAAGACGATCGAATTAAATACGATAAATTCTAAAATATGAAGATCAACTAAAGAAGTAATCATATCGAGCACATATCGTCTATCTGAATACCTTGATAAGTCAAATGTTGTCAAGCAGTAATTTTTTTACTTTCTTTTACTTCTTTTGGAAATGAGAGTACATTCGATTTATATGGTTCAAGACCACATTAATCAATTATGATGATGAAGAGTAAAGAAATTCTGTTGGCCGGTGTGGTGGATACATGATCTCATAGTTACATTTCTGAATGTGATGATGGGATTTGAGTTTTCTGATAAAAAATAGTGCAACGTTTTGAGAGATACAAAGATTTCATCCATCTTGTCACCCTCTCTTGTCTTGAAATCCTATTGTAGACTTTGGGACTCTTGTCTACCTTTGCAATTATTGAGAGTGTATGTATCCTGCAACTTGTGGGATCTCTTTAATTATCCATAAAGGTGTATCTAAATTTTATTCTATTCAAAATGATCATGTAAGTTTGAGCTTGTAGCAACTAGCAGGATGATCCTTATCCTATTATCAGTGTTTGTTCAAAATTATGTCCAATTTATCTTCTAAGTCATGTAATTCATTCAAAAATTTATTAGAAACAACGATCTACTCAAGCAGACTTACTTTAATCTAAAGGGAGCAAGATTTGTAGACCCAAGTCGAAGCTATGTAAGGATTTCCTAATCCTTTAAGCATCATAATTCCATTAGACCACACACATAACACACTTTGTTAAATCTCTCTAAATCATATCCAAACTATATGTATGCATGATGCTAACTTGAGAATTTGAAGTGTAATGACAGTTTTTATCCATGAATTTGGTTCCATCCACAAATGAGAAGATCATCGATTAGCAAAACCAAAATAGAATCTACCCAAATTTGTTAAGTCATGTTTCTCTATATATGGGTATATCTTCACACTCTCACTCTCATTTTATTGTTCTTGATGAGTGACAAAGGTACGTGTAATTCAGGGTGGGCTGTAGCTCCATCGCTATTTTTTTATTTGAGATCATAAATTGTGAATCATATGATAAACAAACATTGAAAAATGGCAAAATAATAGGCTATAAACTCCAACTCATTCAAAACATCCTAATTCATTTCCAAATGATAATTGTTTTGTTTGTTTATTTCTACCCTCAGTTAGCTTATTATAAATCCTGACTTTCTGTCTTTCTCCACTATTTTGACGGCAGACAATAGTACTGGAAAAGGCAGGCAATTAAGCTGATGAAGAGAATCACATAATATTTGATTAGACAAAGTGAAATGAAGGAGATTGGCGACCCACCCCAACCACCTGATCAAACATATACAAATTACTTTACTTGCACCTCAAATTAGGAAAAAGAATGGGATCAATTAATAGGAGACTGCCTAATTATTTGTTTTGTTAATTCTACTTGATTATGCACTTTAGTTTGTACTATTGGCAGAGACCAGAACTGGCAAACATAAATCAATAATGGAGGGGGGGCTAAGCTAACAGTGACAATCTAGCTCTTCACGACAGTTGTCAGAATTGTTCTGGTTTTCATCATCCCTCCAGATTGTCTCTGAAACTCATAAATTTTATGTCTTTTAATTTTATTTTATGTTTTCTCTGCAAACACATCTACCCGGTTATATTCAGGGTTTATAATTGAGAGTCTTGTAATTCATTTGGCCTATTTTCCAAAGGGCCTCTCTCTATATATATAACACAATTTAATTGATAACAGTGAAGTGAACAGTAGCAGTACAGAGAGAGGTGGTGTTGGTTTATTGTGGGCAAGACATTGAATGCAAATTTCTTTGTTGTTTTCTCATTGAAATTTTGTGGACAAAGTGAAGCTATCATCTCATTATTCAGTGCATGGAATTGTCACTGTGTGTCACACTCAACCAGGGATGCCAAAAGTATATGTGTGCCAGAATTAGGCTGCTGCTGTTGTGCAGTTCCTATCCCATTAATCAACAATCAATAACTACAAAGGGTTACCGTTACTGGTATGAGTATCCGCAACAACATATAAATAGATTCGAATGTGAAACCTTTCTTTCAGGTTAGCGATCTAACGGTTCGATCACATCGCTCATGTTATTTCTATGGATTGATTGTGTACATAATAACTACACTAAGTAATAAGAAGAGCAAGTAACAGGAGAAGTTTAGAGGAAAGGAGAGTAGAGAAGATGGTGATATTTAATTAGAGTGAAAATGATGTTGAGGGTGTGTATTGGTACCCTCCTTGCCTCCTCTTCCATTTATTGCAGTTGTCTTTATGCCTTTTTCCCCCCTCCCTCTCATCTTTCATTTCCTCTTCACTAAAATGCTCTTTGTCTCTCCTTTTCTTTTCTACTCTACTCCTACTGATCATTCATCATCATCACCATCATACCCTTTTATCCTTTCCCCCTCTCCCTCCCTTCTCTTCTTCCCCACAAAAACTTTGCCTTTTTGGCAATCTTCTGCCTAATTTGCAGCCCCTCCTACTCTCTCTTGATTGATCTTCTTCCTGTTCTAGCTAGATAGCTAGCAGTATATATATAGCTAGGTTTTGTGGTTCCTTTCTTTGTCAAACACCCTTTTCACATAGCAGCAAACCAATTATTCACCCCCCTCCCTTCTATTTGCAGCAAGCAAGCAAGTGTGACTGCATATAGCCCTATAGCTTTGCATAAACAGACAAAGGTAAGCTCTCAAGCAACACCCCTTTGTCAGTTTTTTATACCTGTGCTTGTGTGTGAACTTTTGGGGTCTGTTCCCTTATTGTTCGGTTGATCCATATATGGTGGGTGGCCAGTCAATAATTTCGGCTTCAGATCATTGACATATATACATATATGCATGTCCTTCTTCTAGTAATTCTAGTTATCTGGGTTCTTCAGATTTTTCTTTACTACTTTACCCACTTGACTGGAGATGGTGAAAATAGAAGATACTATATATATGTGCCCCCAACATAGGAAGAAAACCATCAGTTCATTCTACAGTATCATCTCTGTGGCTAGCTAGCTGGGTATTAAATATAGGACAGTACTGATAAGAAAATTTTGAACTGTTTGAATGATTTCTTTGCAGAAATCTAGCATTAATCTAGCTATAGGATCACAGTAATAAGGGTCTGATATGTATCTTCGACGCTGACTTTGTACAAATTTGTCTCTCTTGACTCGCCAAAAGCTAGCCAGATGAAACATATATATGTGCTATATAGTTAGAACAGCTAGCAAAGGCTTGGAGGAGGCCAAGAATTCAACAAAGACTGCTTCAATTTCTCTCTCACCCTCTCACAAGTTTTACACCAGAATAAAAACAAGAACTTGCGGCATCATATAGGTGATAAGATGTTATCTCTTCACTTATGTAGCGATGTTCAGGTCGAAAATCAACGCTGGAATTGCTAAATTAAGTAATTGTTCAGCACACATTCTTATTTCAAGCACATAAATAACAATATATTTCTCTTAACCACTTTTAATTAGCCATATAAGACCTCAATAATATAAATTATGATTAGGATATTTAGATGTTCAATCCTCCAACAAGGAGAGAAGCAACACTTATTTTCAAACACTCTTACTCTTTCGTTGTTATTTCATTCATATAAGTTAAGTTAGTACGCGGTATAACATTCATTTTCACAGTGCTTTCATCAAGTGTCAACAACCCAAATAACTTAACCGATTTGTGTTTGCACCTTGACCAATTTGTGAACTTCAATTGCATGATATACTTAATTACTTTCTTTTAAGACTAATAATGGTTCTCTCTGTAGCTATAACTTTTTTTTTTAATTTAAAAAACTCACCTATATATTTTGTAACTGAAAAATGACATATATATATATATATACATCCTTGTCGTTTCTTAGGCTTACACATAATATATGGCATCGGCGGCGGCTGCATCCTCCTCGTCAGCCTACTCAAACTCGCCATGCGCGGCGTGCAAGTTCCTCCGCCGAAAGTGCCTGCCGGACTGCATCTTCGCGCCTTACTTTCCGCCGGAAGAGCCGCAGAAGTTCGCGAACGTGCACAAGATCTTCGGGGCCAGCAACGTGAGCAAGCTGCTCAACGAGGTTCTCCCGCACCAGCGGGAGGACGCCGTCAACTCGCTGGCGTACGAGGCCGAGGCCCGGCTCAAGGACCCCGTCTACGGCTGCGTGGGGGCCATCTCCGTGCTGCAGCGCCAGGTCATCCGCCTCCAGAAGGAGCTCGACGCCACCAACGCCCACCTCATCCGCTTCGCCTACACTACTAGTAACAACAACCACAACAACAGCAATAGTAGTACTGATGATTCGATGATGAATGGCGGTGGTTATTCTTCGGGCGGGGGTTATTATGGTAATTACAATGGTGGGGGTAATTACAGTTCGTGGAGTGGTGGCATGAATTAATTAATGAAGGCTTAAATGGAAGGGGAGGAGGTGGGAAATTATTGGGAGCTTCTCATATGTGCAAGCTATTGGATTGTTGCCTGAGATTTGGTCATAATATTTTTTGCATTTTGGTATAATGGGGTTTCAATTGTATGGTATCATACCGGACAATTGATCGTACGATAATTATTTAAGCAATTTATACCTTCTTATGGTGGGACTATATCGGTGGCTATACACTATGATGACGTGTCGTGTCGTAATCAGTACTTACGGTATGTTGTATGTGGAAGAGGTAGAGGAACCCTGTTTGACATAAAAGTTAAGTCTGATTAGGGTTTTGGTTTTGTGTTATGTGTGTACCAAATGTTTTAGACTCATATATATGTGATTGTGGGTGTTTTTTCTTCTCTATAAAGGGCTTATGGAGAATACTTATAAGGTGAGATATATTGTTTTTTTTTTCCCTCCTTTCATTTTTTTGCTCTTGTTTTATTTTATTTATGCTTTCCCCTAGTGGTGGTGTATGGGAATGGGAATGGGAGTTTGGATTTTGTGTATTGGAGAGAGCAATATATTGAAGTGGTCTTTAATTGATCAGTTTTGAATTGAAATATAGATAAAAGGATGCGGCTTCTTGCATGTACACTTGCTCTCTTCCCTTTTTGGCTACTTTTAATTTAATTTGTTGGCACTTGTTTTGGCATTTTTGACAAATATATATCATGCCTCTCTTTGGAGGCTAGCTATCATTTGGATTCATATGGGCACTATATTGTTGGCATTCTGTCACTACTATTAGTCTGTCGATATTTTTGGCCTAGGTATATAAAACTTGGAAATGATGGTAGAGGAAAGTAAGAAGCAAAGTAGGAGTAGAATTAAGTGAGAAAAACATCAAAATACATTATATTTGTAAAGGAATGATGTAAGATCAATTTTCTAAAAAATATTTAACCAATGAGACAGCTAATTCTTGATCTCGATGTCTCGTTTTTTATTTTTCACGATAATCAATATTCATAGTTGATTTAAGTCTGGAGCTAATTAATTCTTGACAATGTTTAGTAGAGTATGAAAATGATAACCTTATCAATTGTAGTTCACAAAGACTTGAATAAGAAACCTCTATCAAACTCTCTCATACCCTGTGTGTAACTAATTAATTGTCTAAACAAATCAAATATGAACCATATACGGTCTATAATATAGGTTTCTCATGACTGATGTATGATAAACCATAAATATGCAACTAGGGCATCCACTACAAAATTCTAGTTATATATATAGTATTTATTTTGAAATACTCACAATCCACTCATACCTACCTAATCAGCTAAGCCCTAACTAATGTACGTATAGCAATTATATGATGGCTAGGGCTCCCATGCTATGTATCTATAATTAATTATAATAATCCCTTAAGATATAATTGGAAATCAGGAATAATATATATGTAAGTAGATACCATAAAATTGGAGGGTATACCCAATATCTCACTTTCTGCCTCACAAAATTAAAGGTACCCATGGTTTTGTAAAGATGACTGATGAAGATTCTCTCTTATTTGTAGTCTAATTGTTAATTGTGATGATTATAGTATAGTTTAGGAACGGTGTACAATTATTTGCTTGTCAAAAAACATTGTATGATTGATAACTTATCTTATAGTGGTCTCTTAGTTAATTATTTAATTATAAGTATGAACTATTGCATAATTGGTGCCCACTTCTTGAATCTGTATAATATTAATATTATAGCATATGAACTTTTTATGAATCTTTTCCGACTTCTCTTTTATGTCTTTTGGCTTCTTTGTCTTGGCAAAATAGAAAGTAGCACTTCCAAAGGGAAACTTATTATTTTTTAGTGGCTGATTTTCTTTATGATTTTCTTTTTATTCATAGGCAGGAGTTAAAAGGAAGCATAAGCACAGGTATGATGTGTGTCAGTACAAACTTCATACTGACAAAATAATATGTTATTTAACGATTTCCAACTACTCAAATTTTTTAAACCAAAATTCTCAACAAACCCTACTTACGAGTAGAGGTGTGCAACGAGTTGGTTCGTACCAGATTGCACTGAACCAAACCAACACTTGGTCGGACCACACCTAATCGAGTATAATATGGTTCAGTGTACGCTTGGTCCAAGAATTTTATAAAAGCGGAAGAAATAAACTAAAGTAACATTATTTAGACCGGACCAAACCGATATGTTTTCGCTATTAGACCACGATTCTCATGAGTTTGGTACAGTTCACACTGGACCGAACCGTTACATACCCCTTGGAACATAGTCTAGTAACCTTCAATACACTATTTCGGCGATACTGGTTTATTTTTCTTTGATTGAGCTACAATCAATAAACTATTAAACTATAGCATCAATATTGCTCTTTAATAATCAAACTAATCTTCTTAACTACCCTTGGACAGTTAGTTTGACTTCTGATAATATGGTTGAAAGTGTGTTGCATAACTCCAAAAAATACCACGGGTAGCATGCACAAGTAGATTATAACCTAGAGTTAGCTTATAAGCCGACAGGAGATCTTCAAAATTACACGAAAAGCAGCTGAAAATGAACCCCAAAGCGAAATAAACAAATAGAGCTGACGGTTCCCTTGAACGATTACTCATAAGTCCCCTAATGAACAAAATGAAAATTTTCTTTGTCCCCGTTGCAACTTCCTTTTTCTCACCCCATGCCATCATCAAATCTTACGTTTCTCGATCGGCCATGCTTTTCCGTTTCAAGATTTGATCATATACGAATGTGCAACTAGGCCAACAAGATCCTCCAATCTTGAAGCTGTAGTTGTTGTGTAAAAGTGTTTTGTGTTAGATTCTTATCTTCATCAATTGGTGCAATTAAACGGTTGAGAACCGTATGAATCATCGTATTTGCTTGGGTTCGATTTAACAGGTATGTGTGTTTTGCTGATTATTGTACATATTCGAACGTACTCTCAAAGAATGTGTGGATCACCCTTCGTAAATAAAAAAAAGTATTGTTTTGTGTTACCCAAGAATGTATATAGGGAAGAGCGAAGAACATTTTTATGTTTGTGTCAGTAGTTAGTCGGCTCAGTTAAATTTTAATCGTCAACGAATCTGTCAGTTAGCGGTTAACCTCCAAGCAAACACCATTACAGCTAGCCAACCTTTCACATCCTTAGTGGCTAACGATTACCCATTAACCGATGGTTAGCGGTTATGTTAACCGTTAACCAACAACTCACAGTTATATTAACCGTTAACCAATAATTAGCAGTTAAATTAACAGTTAACATAAATAACCGTGTAAACTATTAGCAGCCCTAACTGAGACCCAATATTTATAGGTTGCTCTTTGATTCTGAATTGTGTCAAGTACCAAGAGCACAAGGGCTTGGCGCACCTTGATCACAACTTTCCGGAGAATGACTTGACCCTTGACTCCGAGTTGGTCGTGGACTTGATAGAAACCAACTTCCGTTCGGTTTCTATAATTATTATTATATTAGAGTAATTAGTCTTTTAGTTGTATTAGGTTAATTGTTAGGGTTTTATGGTTCTTTCCTATATATGTACGTTGTTATTCGTCTATTCAATCAATAAGAAGAATATTAAGAAAACTCTCCTAAACCCTAATCTCCCTATTCTCTCAGTTCTCGTTCTCAACCCATCTAAAGGCCTAGGCCGATTCTCTATCTTCTTCCCCAAATTCTCTTCTAAATCCCTAAATCTCCATCAATTCCCAACCCAATCGATAGAACCCTAGGAATAGGTTTCTATCAGGACTTTACCCCAAGTCTAGATCGCCGGAGTTAGACCCAAAGAGATGCATATAGATATAGTTAGACTTAATATGCGGGCGGCCGACTAAACTATACAGGCCGACCTCAAGTGAGCAGCCCCAAGGAAAGTGTTGATAATAACAGTTTTAAGGATATAGTTTTGCTTTAACATTGGTGATTACAAATTAGACTAATTTAAGGGTCGGCCATCAGTCGGCCGCGGTGCAAGTAGAACGTTGGTACGTAGTGCGCGCGCTTTGTGCAATTGGGCAGCCGAAATTCCCTTTCAACTAGACTTTTCAAGAGAGGATGTGTGGAAGCGATCGACAGATAGGATTAAAGGGACGATCGATGTCATTTTCTAAGCACGAAGATGCCTTAGCTAGGAGCTAGGTAGGTAGCAAGCTACTCTGATAGGAAACCATAAAAGGGTTGTTTTCCCATGTGAGAATGTACCCTCTCAAAATTGACAAGGGGGTCATCATATATACAAACCAATAGACAATAGTTACCAACTTCACTGCTAGTTATATTCACCAGTTTTCTACAGTTGGGTCTGACCCATTTGGTAGCTAGTGGTGGAGCCATCTTTTTAGTGCTTTTGACAATTCGAGTTATTAGCTACGATAAATATATGTGTGCATAATGGAAATAGTGGATTGGACCTATGCATCAAGTATTGGAGTTGTTGGGTATTGAAGGTTGACGTCCAATCCCTAATGAGCCAGGACCAAAATTAAAGAATGTTGATATAATTACATAGCGTGTCGGAGATCTATGCATATGTAATCTAGTTCATAACAAGTATTTCAATTTTCAACTTTCGCTTGGGGATCATGCATATTTTTTCTCAAGGATGCGTTAAATATTTTCAATAACTCGAGTTATTGTCTAGGAATGAATCTTATATATTTCAATATATTGAGCTTTGCTCTCCAGCCCTTCATACATTTTACTCAATCAAAAGCTAATCAATATTGAGGATCTTCAGTACTCGAACACAGAGGTCAAACCCTCTAGCTAGCCAGTATCATGCGAGAACTAATTAATCACAATAATTCGAGTTGTTAGAGTGGCCGGCCAAAAAATTACACCTTGCACACACCACAACCTTAAATTTGGTTTTGACACCGACAAAGCTTAGATGAAGCAACTTCATGGGTAGTGCATGCATGTTGACCCTCTTCTGCTCTTCAAACGTTTTCTACTGACAACTCGTTTTCACCATTGTCCACCTTCTGTTTGAGCTTTCATTTGGTAGGGCGCCATGCAGTACTAACAGTACACTAATTTGCATACTGTTGGTGAATATGTACCACACTAGTCCATCACTAGCAGTAGTACTGCTATACTCTGAGATAAATGATGATCCCATCTGTCTGCTGCTATATACATGCTGTAAAATTGTGACGGCTCACCTTCCTCGTGAGGCCACATGTACTCAAGAACCCAAGTTCCTCTGTCCACTCTGCAGACATCACATGTCTGGCCAGCCGGCATAGACATTTTCGCAGGGTAGGCATTAACGCAGATTGATATGTCGTTGAGTGACATTATTCACTATCTTAAATAGTTATTGGATGCATGTATTGTCGTCATTTAAACAACATATGCATCGAACGACTTAGAACACTTAATTGTGTAGTTCGAAAACTTCGAATTTATACGAACGAATACTTACCCTATATCTGCATATCAACCTAACTGGAATTATATATATGAAAATATTGTTTTAATGTAGTGCAATTATTTGCACATGATCGCACATTCCCTTTTGCCTCCTTGTCTCCCTTCCTCTTTGCCTCTTCTTTTCTTTGTCTTCCTAATCATTGGCCTACTAGCATCTCCTCCAACATCCCCTTCCCTCCCTAAGAGCCGCCCTATATGTTTGTAAGCTTTGGCTCACATAATTTGAGGTTGAGCCCTATGTGGAACTATTGACATGAGGAGACATATTTCGTTTTAAAATTCGACGAAATTATCATTTTGTTGTTTGAATTTTATCATAATTTATTAATTTCGACGATATATATGAGCATTGAATAGAGTCTTCCTCCGACCATCTCATAACCGTCATAAATACCTATAAAGCAAATACTAGAGGGACTGTGAGATTAGAGTTCATGAGACCAGATAAAATGTATCCTAGTCTCCCTTTGCAACATTATATCTCCAAATTAAACTTACTTTTGTCTAATTCCCATAACAAGTAAACTTTCTCAAACAATGTATGGAACTATGGATAGGAGCTATATATGCATATACATACTAATAACTAATTAACTCGTTAATAATGTAGACCACAATTTCGTGTAAAGGCCTGTATAGATGGGGTCAATGTGGGCAGGAAGTCAAACAAAAGATACTCTTCACCTAAAATTCCATTTCATTTGTGTCTAAACAAACATGACAAGTAAATAATGGAGCTAAGAAACAAGCACTAGCAGGGCGTGCGCACGGGCAGAATGGCGTGTTATTGGGCCCACTGTCAAAGCGAAAAGTCCCCATCCGATGTACTAATCTATGGGCGTTAAAGGGTCTTAATCTTGGAGGTGAGGATATGGGCCTGGACCCGATGGCCCAGCACCTTAGTCTTGTATGACTCTTTTTCAAGAATGGGTCACATCCCGGACGGGTCACTTTCTAATACATGTCATTAAACCCCTGTTTCGAAATTAATGGGCCCATCCGATCCTCCAACCGCCCAAAAAGTTGAGGGTAAAACAGAAGAAGGCCCCTCCAAAATGACCCTGACCAGAGACAGCTCTGTTACAAATGCTCCCAAACAAACAAAAAACAAAAAATCAGAGTGATTGATTGATTTGATTGTGCCTCTGATTAGACCTTTCTTTCTTCCCCTTTCAAAGAAGCCCACTGGGCTGTAGCCCCTATGGCCCATGAACAGATTAGAGCTCCAGCAAGAGTTAACCTGTCCTGGTAAATGGTAATTATCTAATCTAATCTCAAACGCCAATTCCCCTTGGATGGTGACTGAAATTTGGACCTGTCGCTGAAGAATCTAAAGGCCCTATGGACACACAAAATATGATGGCAGAATCCAAGTCCCCAAGCCCAGTTATGCACAGATCTAACAAATGGGCCCATTGTTTGTTCACCGCTTACTGAACTAAGGGTCTTGCTCACCTTATCTCCTTCGGCCCATGTAGGTCTCTGTAGCTTTGTCCAGTTCGTGAGGGTTAGAAATCTGCCGAGTATGTCAATTGTTCATATCCGTTCCACAGTGTAAAAACGGGTTAAGTGAACAGACGTCTGCACAGGACACGGATTAATGGATCCCGTTTTAGTATTCGATTTATGGAGCAAACCCTAGTTGGAGCTGTGACATGCCACAGTGAAGCTTTTGGTGACCACCTCTTTGAGGAGCAAAATTTCTCTCTTGCAGTGGCGGAGGCAGAATTTGAAACTACCCCTGTCCTCTTTTCGTATTATAAATATAAAAATATTTCATGAATATAATTAAATTAATAATATCTAAAAATTATTTTCACTTATAAAAAATGACTACTATTACAATCGGTATTTTCATAAACAACCATGACGAGTTTTCATATTCGGAAGAAACACACAATACATTCTTTGTCTACACACTTAAGTAAGTCATTTTCAATGGACCTCACTAAACAACCATTAACAAACTGGTCACGAGTTCGACTTCAAAGTTTGTTCTTCAGATCGCTCAAAGCTGGAAATATTTTATCGTCACATGCCGTCAAAATTAGTGGAATCGGCGCTGCCACTGGACTGCTTCAAGATTGCTTGCAAATAATCGAATAGGCATATAAAGAAAAGAGATCTATTCCAATTGAGACTTCGTTTATTATATAATAATTAATTCATTGTCAATTTATGATAAATAATGAGTTGTGATATAGTAACGAAGTACAATGGTGTTGTGTTCCATCCTTCGTATAAGTATATATGAAATATTTATGTTCCTCTCAAAATTTACCCCTGTCCCGGGACAATGCCCAATAGGGCTGTCTCCGCCACTGCTCTCTTGCTTAGGTTCCGCTATTGTTGCAACATCTATTTCCATATTTAGCATAAAGTTCAGAAAATCCACCACAGAACCAAACTAGTGTGCTTAGTGTACACCAGAACAAGAAAACGAAGGCCTTGTTCGTGAAACAGAGGAAACCAGGGGGAACAGAGTAGTGTTTAGCAAGTACTAATGTAAAACAGTAAAGAAGTTACATAGCAATTCAGCCCCAAGAACCAAAAGAAGCAAACTGGAACATCAAATTCTCCCTCTTAACGTTGAGAAAACCGGGAAAAAGATAACAACATTGGAACTGAATCCATTACATGCAAATAAACCCTTCTTTTTTTTTTTTAATTTTATTTCCCATTTTCATGGTTTTGTTTCCTGAGCTTTCCTCTGGATCTCCTGCCCGACTTCCTTGGTCTTCTGCCCAACATACCCTGCCGCATCATGCACCCTCTTCCTCGCCTCCTCGAGCTGCCCAGGCACCTCCTCCGTCGCCATCCGGAGGTACCGAGCAAACCACGACAGCGAGGTCAGACCGGTCAGCCCGACCAGCCCGGACGACAAGAAAGCGGTGACCGCAAACGCGATGGTCAGAGCAGCAGGGACGATGACAGGGCTACAGATTAGGAACACAGGGGTCGCCACCGCCAGTCCAATGAGCGTTCCGACGAGGGTTAGCCCGGCCAGGGCGAGGAGGGTTCCACCGATTGGAAGCCCGGTCATGACAGCCAGTATGGTCGAAGCGGACGGACCGGTTCGCTGGTAATCAGGTCTGCCGCCCTTGAATCCGCCTTCGTAGCGGCCTGGGAACTGGGAGTGGACCTGAACTTGGTGCGGGTGTGTACGATCCATCGTTGTTTGTTGAAGAATTCTGGAGCTTGATGAGATTGTTTTTGAGTTTTAGAGATGTGGGATGGAGAGGGTAGTGTGGAAGGGAATTAAGAGATGGAGAGAGAGAGAGGGAGGAATATAAAGCAGGGGAGGAAGGGTGAGGGAGTGACACGTAGGGTGGTGACGTGGCTGGTAAGGGCTTTGCATGACAAACAAGTTTCAAAACAGACTTACACATGACGAAAAACAAAGAAAGAAAAAAAGAGATTTGATCGAACGGGAAGGAGAAGAGAAAGGGAAATAGGAAAGGTCGGCTTGGCTATGGCTATGGCTATGCTCTGCATCTATGCAGTTGTTATTTGCCAGTTGCCAGCCACCGCCACCGGGAAATTAATTGTTTACTGGCCTTTTCTGGAAGATTTTTGTGGTGGAAGTGGAAGATTGCATGGCCTTTTCTTCTGTTGTAACTGTAGTTTGTTAAATTTGAAGTTCTTGGTACTAATTTAAGCACTTGATCATATGTCAGATGTACAAAATGTGCTATTGGTATTTTCTAATTGACCCATATGAGTGAATTATGAGAGCTAATTGAGCCATATGAGTGAATTGGGTGCTCAGTTTTGTATTTACTATTACCACTGGTCCACTGCATGATGGAGAGCAGAGCCAGCTCCCTTGTCTTCTTCCTTTTCCCTTCAGAGTTCAGACTACACCTCTTTTCTTTCCCCTCCTCTGTAAGTTTTGAAACTTGTTTGTCATGCAAACCGCTTGCTCGCCATCTCACCTCTCTACGTGTCACTCTCCCCTCCTTCACTCACTGTATAACTCCCTCTCACCGATTCCTCTCATCATTCATCTAAAAACCTTCCAAAGCTCTTTATTCTTCTTGTAAAGGCTCAAGCTTTATACCCGCAAAAGAAAAAATGGCGACAATGGGGGATCGTGGACAGCAGCACCGCTTCGATGCTTATGGTGGCGGAGGCCGTTATGGAGGCGGCCTCAAGGGCGACCCACACCAGAGAACAGGACCTTCACCTTCAAAGGTGCTTGCAGTCGTCACCATGCTCCCCGTTGGCGGCACTCTCCTGGCGCTGGCCGGGATAATCCTCGTCGGGACTCTCATCGGATTGGCTGTCGCCACTCCCGTGTTCATCATCTGCAGCCCCGTGATCGTCCCTGCGGCTCTGCTCGTTGCGTTTGCCGTCACCGCTTTCTTGACCTCGGGGCTTGCTGGGGCCACGGGGCTGACCGCGTTGTCGTGGTTTGCTATGTACCTACGGCAAGCTGTGCGTGCTATTGCTCCGAATGCGAGCCAGGCTGTGCCGGAGACTATGGAGCAGGCCAAGAGGCGCATGCAGGATGCAGCTGGGTATGCCGGGCAGAAGACCAAGGAGGTCGGGCAGGAGATCCAGAGGAAAGCTCAGGAGACGAAATGAAGGAACGACGAAGAAGATCCGAGATGGGATGCTGCTTGGAATTCCGGAGTTGGGTTTATTTTGCGTGTAGTTTGATGAGTTTTTTAAGGTCTTTTCTCGCTTTCTTCCTTTCTTTCTGGGTTGTGAATGTAAGCAAGCAACATTTGGTGGTTTAGTTTTTTTCTGAATCGCTCTGTTTTCCTCCTTTCTACTGTTCGACTCTGTTTCCCCTGTTTCCGTTTAGTTGGTGATGAAACCGAACTATTACAACAACTCTTGATCCTCTACAAAAGTGAGGACCCAAGAGATAAAACTACTGATCAGCCTCTTAACTGGGAAGAACAAGACATGAAAAAGGGTCACAGGGGAGGATGGTTGGGCATGGCTCCACTGCCGCCCTCGACTGGTGGTGCTGGTGCCTCTGCCAACGATGATGGTTTGGTAGTATCGGGGATCCAGAACGTAAGAACGGAAGATGTAGCGACGAACATTACCCGTCGAGGAGCCCATTTCAAGCAAGATGGAACACCTATATGGCTGCTCCAGCATGCCACCGGCTAAAGAAACAAAAAGATAGCCCACAAAACCCCAGAATCAGAAATTTTGACATCCATGTATATTGTAGAAGAACATCACCATTAGTTTTCAATGTACCTCGTTTGGTTTGTTGATGTTCCAAGCACGCAATGTCCCATCTCCCGAGCCTAACAAGAACATGAAATCGTAGCTGGTAAGAACAGGATCATCCTTCTCAGACTGAACATATATCCCCGTAATTAGTGATAAATGAACGGTATTTGGCTGAATTTATACTGGTTGAGCTTGAAAAGAGAAAAGTTATGGTGTCTTTCGTTGGGGAGATGAAAAGGAAATGAGGAAGGTGGATTACCTGATACTACATACTGGCCATCCGGGGTAAAAGTCGCCTCTATGGTTGTGTTTGGAGACGGTTCCATGCTGAATCCACAGCGCTGAAGAATAGAAAAGTTGACGAATCAATCAGTCGATAATCCCATTCACAACATGCTCATAGACTTGCTTGTGGCTAGAGATCGTAGAGTTGCATTCACAGGAAAGCTAACCTTTTCTCCTGCATATGCATCAAGCACATAAACGTTATTATTGCTTGTTGTCAACAGCATGGACTTCCCATCGTTGCTGAACTTGATATCGCAGACCTCAGCAGTGTCTCCCCCAACTAGAAATGTATCGAAAGGCCCCTGCCAATTGCATAGCAATGTCAATGTCAATCCACACCATTCTACCGCAACAAAAGGGGGAAATGTTGGTTTCTTTGCTGATGATCAGTACCTTGTCATAGGAACGAGAATCGAACAATTTGATAGCACCCCCTTCCATAGCCACAGCAAAGACGAGACCTTGTTGATCATACGCAACTGTTGGTCGACCTCTCAGCCGTAAGATTCCCTGAAAGCTATACCAGTAAGCATGAATCACAACCATGAACAATGACACGCTATGCTCTAGGCCTAACCTCCCTAAGCTACCATGGCCGACACAAGCTAGTGTTCTTGCTGCATTTAGAAAGGAAACCTACCTGGCATGCGTTAACACGCAGATCCCATATTCGGGCGCTGTGATCGAGAGAACCAGACATGAAGCTATCGTTGATGGGAGACATGCATAGGGAGACAATCCTGGTGGGAAAGAAAGAAAACATAGATAAAAGGCTTCAATGGCATAACAAATGAATCAGAAGTAACACCTCCCAAGCATAGTTTTGAGGAGAACAAAGAAAGTACTCACCTGTCATTGTGTCCTTTGAAATACCGAAGACATCGGTTATCATACATCGATAGATACCTTAAGGATTCTGAACAAAAAAAGTAACAACACAAAGCAGAATAGACCCATCAATGGCTGCCCTCTCATTCGTAGATAACCTACAATACCAATTCATAAGCAATGCATCAACTCACCTCCAGAAGTCTCCAAATTGTATTTGGAAGAGCAAATCACAGAGCTAGGATGGTGAGTAAAGCAAATGCGGTCAGCTCCATGCTTCTTATGAAATGTAGTCTTCAGTAACCTGCAATGGAAGCCACCGATTAAAGCAAAGACGATCCCTTTTCATATTTTGTAGAAAACAAGCAGCGCCTTCTGTTTCATCCTCCAATGGGATTCTGTTCTAAGCGAAGAACGAGATGGGGAACTGAAAGAAAGCTTACTTGGCGCTTGCAATGTCGTACAGGCGAACAGAATCATCGTCGCTCGCCGTCACCAGCAAATCATCTTTACGATGGAAATCAACCGAGTTTATCTTCCCTCCCTGAAATAAACAGCAAAAGTTCAATCTCCATTTTTTAGCTGCTTCTCATCTTGAAAAACTCCGATTACCAAATTCGGGGCGAGAACAATCAGAAAGCTTTTCTTACGAAGTCGTTGAACACAGCTCCGACCGCCATGCTGCGCACAGTGTCTTCATCAAGCTCCGAAAGCGCCGCCGCCATTGATGGATTCCCCGGATCAATCGTCACTGGTGGCAGTGGCGGCCGCCGTTTACGAAGGAATTTAGTGCAAGAACCGAAAGGACAGAGAAACGAAGAAGAGAAGACGAGCGAGCAATACGACAACGTAGTGATGTATCCCTTGTGCTGACCCGAGAGAGGGTATGGGTATTAAGTCGGGTCGGGTGTAAACGAAACGTTTCCCGCGGTCGTGTTTTCTCTGAACAGTCCTCTCCGGCAGTTTAATTCTTCAATTCGCAGTGAAGCAAGCAAGCAAGCAAAGCAAATCATGGACGCTTACGCTCCGCTACTAGAGAAAACGAAGGTGCCGCAGCCGTCTCTGCAGAAATTCGCGGTGGTTTCAATTTTCTCGAAGCTCCGTTCACCGCCGGGGTACCTTGACTCCGATTCCGAACCAGGTAGAGAAGCAATCTCACAGTGCCTGCAGTCTCGGTCGCCGGCAGTTGTTGACCAGGCGGTCCGCGAGCTCTGCCGGTTCGTCTCGGATTCGAAATTGGACCTCTCACGTGGCTTGCTCGAGCTCCAGTCAGCACTCGAAGGTACAGACGAGAAGTTCGTTGGCTTGTTTGTTAAAGGCATTGGGTTTCTGGTTCGGCTGGGCTTCGAGAAGAGCCATGGCTCTTGGCGGTTCGCTTCCCCGGAGAATCATCCGTTTGTCAAGGTCAGTGAAATGATCAATTGAGATTTTATTCTCGCTTTTTACATTGATGTGGTTAATGTGATAGGTGCATGATTAAGTCCTAGTCAACCATTTTGCTTCTTTTTTTGCCCCCTTTGTGAGTTAGTAAGGTTGTTTCATGGCTCAAGAATCTGAATGATTATTGTTCGTGGATTCTTGGAATGCAGGTTTTGCTGTCCAGAAGCGAGGTGCAGTCTGATTTGGTGCAGCAAGTTTTACTGTTTATGGCTAAGAGTAGGGGACTGGGAATGGATGAAGTCTGTGCATTCTTGAGACCCTTGCTGAACTTTTCAGTTCTGAGATTACCCTTTTCAGATTCCTCATCGTCATTGTTTGCAAGGCGGCTAATATCATCAGTGGCGTCGTGTTGTTGTTCATTCCCCAATGAGGGAATTGCTATTCTCAAGCTATTGATAGACTGCCTAAAATATCTGCCACATAAGACTTCAGATGTTAGTAATACCATCTTTTATTCATTCCTTCGGTGTCCCTTCTGTTTTAGTGGATCAAATCATTTATCCATCTTTGATACTAGTTGACCATTCTGCTGGATGACTTCTGGCATCTGATGGTCCGTTGGTTTCTCTGTAATTATCAAGTGCAGGAGCTCCGGAACTCCTACTATTTTATAGAATGTACTGCTGATGCATATGTAGTGGTTTTGAGACACGCGATTGAAACAGGGCTGGTATGTTTCCTCTGGTTATTTGGTACTTATGTAAATGAAATGTCTCTCTAATATGTATTACACTACTGTCACACTAATTTAACGTTCTTGTTTGGTTAAAATTTCTATTGCTTTTATCTTGATATACAGTCAGTTGGCAAGGCCCAGCTGCTTGGGGTTGAACTGTCAGAAACAGTTCTTGCACTGTTGGCATGTTTTCATGGCCGTTCTGGTGGCAGTGAAGCAATTTATGAGTTATTGAAGCGCCTATTTGTTGTTCAGAAGGATCTTGGACTGGAATTCATACCAGAATTGTCAGCAACACTGCTTTCTTTGTCTATTGCCCTTGCGCAGTCTGAGCTTGAACACGAGCAGCTTTCTGTAGTCAAACTCCTCATCTTCCTTCTTAGGTGGAAGAAGGAAAATGGTAAAGGCACATAATTATTCTTGCCTTTGATAACTGGGATGAACCTATGTCAAACCCATCTAGTAGCTTCACTGGAAATTTATTTTCTTGATATTTTCCTTCTCTTAAGTTTCATTAGAAGCTTTAAGTTCCTCGGACATAGGACAAAGTAGTAATGTTAATGGATATCTATCTTATCTACTCATTCCTGCACTATAGGGCTCCAAAGAGGCATATTCTAGCCAGTAGGGACCATGGCAAACAATCTCAACTGTTCCTCACTTTATACAATGCATTAGGGGGTGCTTATCCTACATATTTTTCTTTTCATACTGATGCCTTCGATCATCCGATGATGTTGTGCCTGAATGCGCATTGGCTTGGAATTGGATCTATCCACCATAAGTACCTTGTAATTATAATTTGTTCCTGTCAGTGTATATTCTCTGTTACACTGCATATATTCCTTCCTCATAGCATCTGATTTTTTCTATATGTTTTCCAGGATATTCCGTCTCACTGATCCAACCTGCTCTAAGTGAAGAACTCATTCTCATGTGTCCTGTGCTTAACCTTATGTCTTCAGCTTCCAAACCTGTTAAGGCTGCAGTAGCTGATTTAGTTAGCATGGTAGAGAGCTGCATAGTGCAATTATTAAAAGAACCTAAGACTGAGGTAGGCATGAGCTGGAAATTTCCACATACAAGTACGCTGGGGACTATCATTTATAGGCTTTTGCAACATCTTTGGTTTCAGGTCTGGTTTCTTTCTCTTCCCCTGATCTCTTCATTTGATTCCACATTCACTATCTGTTCATGTACATATCATCATTCAGGCTGCGTCATTTTTCTTTCTGTCTATTACTAATATGATAGTTGTCTGGACATTTTTTTATTGTGCTAGACGTTAAGTTTATGCATCTTCTTCAATGTTCAAATAAGAAGAACATTGGCCAGATTTATGTTTTCATCAACTTTTATATAATAGATGTTTGTAAGGGTTTAGAGACTATTAATTGTTTCTATATAGAAGGCTGCAACAGGTTTTCATGGTAGCACCATGTGTTTCAGTACTAGTGTGGAGTTGATTTTAGGTAAGTGGCTTCTAGTATATACTGACACTTCGCTAAATACCCAGGAAAAGTTTTCAAAGTCTACACTGTGCTATATGGATCTTGTTTCTGTTGCTGAAACGTATAATGAAGAAAAGAAAAAATTGGGGCCTTCAGATTGGGTGTCTCAAGTAAGAGACTATTGTTTGAGGGTAGTTGACAAGCGGAAATCCTCACTGCCTCTGTCTCAGTTTGAAGGAGTTTCCTTGACAGGTAAGCCATCGTAACCTGTTTTGGCATTGTTCTTTTCCCTTTTATTAAGGTGCATGTTTAGTATGTATCGAGACCAGAGAGAATGCTTGTATCCTAATCATCCACATTGACCTCCAGAGATCGCACCACTACTCAGTGCTGCTGGTGCGGTGTTGGTGATCCATCAGTCACTGGGCAACATTGCCATAGATTTGTTGGCAGCTATTGGCACTATGGATCCTAAACAGGGAGTTGGATTGTTGCTCGCCGTTCTATTTTACATCAACATTTTCACCAGAAAAGATGTTAATTACCAAAATATACTGGTGAGTTTTCCTAGTAACATTGCTCTTTCTTTTCACTACTAGATTTGGGATGCAATTTAATCTTCCGTTTCCTTCATTTGGCTGTCCTTTTTTTTATGTCAATCCATCCATGTCACAGCCACAAATTCTAACAGTGCTCCCATCACTGGCTGCACACAACGTGATGGTTCCATTTATAATTCAAACAATTACGCCAATGCTTCAGAAGCCGGGGAAACAGTATGTCCCTTTGTCAGTAATAATTTGCTTTCATCTGATTTGTCCTCTTGATCCCTTGACATATGTGCTCAATATTTTTGTTGATGGAAAATGGGAGATGGATGCTACTTTAGCTGTTTGATGGAAAGTTGGTGTTGTAATAATGCTTTTCGGAACCTCTTTCCTTATTTGTGCTTGAATGCAGTTAGCGTTGCCTAATTTTGCTTGCCATATGTGTATAAATTCCCATTAGGATTCAGTCTCTGTCCCATGTTGCATCTTTTCTTACTTTCCTGTAGTTTTGGCTACTCTAAAGCATGGAATAACTATCGGTGACAAAGTAAAAGGTCTTTTTTTTTTTTGTAAAAATCGTTAAGGTCATGACTCTGTCAGGGCTATTCTTGTTGGTTAAGAATGGATATATGGTTTTTTCTGAGAAACAGTATGCATATCTGTTCTACTATTGCTTTGCTTATGTCTAGTTATTTTTTAACCATATTCTTATCATATCACATTCAGAGTGTTGTATGCCACAGGCACTCGTTTACTTTATCAGACCTGGGCTATGAATGACCGTGCTTTTGGGAGTTTGCAGGTAAGATTCTTTTGTTAAGCTATGATTCTAGTTATGAGACAGCATCATTCCCTCCTCTTTCTCCCTCTCTCTATCTCAATTCGTAATGTGTGATGAATTATTAATCATGACTTGTTTGTATGTAGGCAGCAATTCTTCCAAAGGGTTTTGCAGAATTCAAGTCTGAGAGAATTACCTGTATAAGCTTAGCTGCTTCTATCAGAGATGTTTGCCAGAAAAACCCTGATAGGGGTGTTGATCTTATTTTGTCTGTCTCGGTATGTGGATGAAATCACTTGTATCTTTTACTTTCAAACCATGTGTATGCAAGTATAATTTCTTTTTTTGTTTCCTGTTACTGACTAGACTTGCATTGAGAGCCAAGACCCAACCATTCAAGCTCTTGGTTTCCAAGGCCTGGCACATCTTTGTGAAGCTGATGTAGTTGGTAAAATTTTATGCCCTGGGAACTGATTTTCACCTTTATTTCTATTTTCTTGCTTCTTTCTATGCTTTCAACATGCTTGTCTAAACCTTAGCATCACATTTTCTTTTGATCGGCATCGAAGTGCTCAGTGTTTCTATAGCAAGCGTGAACAATGTGGATAAACTAGGAGGCAGCTTCAGTAGCATCTTCTGTTTTACTGCTTTTGTTTTGGTGTCACAAATACCCTGGATATGATTTTTCATGGAAACCTGAATTGGTTTCAAACATATATATATACACACATACAGTGTTCTCTAACAAGTTAGAAACCCAGTGGTTTTTTACTTTCCAGCAAAACTATTCCAGACAAGAGCTGGGGAAAAGCTCTCAAATTATGAGTATTCTGACATTAACAATATTTGTCAAGATGATGAACAATTATTTTATGAATTTTTTCCAGACTTTTATACTGCCTGGGATGTCATTGCAAAGGATGTGCTAGATTACTTAGTGGACCCT